GGCGCTGCTGCTGCTGCTGCTGCTGCTGCTGCTGCTGTTCGGTGCTATTTGTTGCGACCCTGTCGGGCTCCCTGATGCGTTCGAATCACCCGTGCTGGCCTGTCGTCAGTCCCGCCTTTCCTCCATCACTCTGATTCTTCCTTCGTTTATTTTTATTTTTTATTTTTTTTTTCTTTTCTCGTTTCGACCTCTACGCCTTTCAGTTCATGTTCTTTCGGACATGTGTTCATCCTTCGTTATGTTTCGACGCATTCTTTATCATTCTTTCTTCTTCGTTTCTTTTTTCAGTTCTGTATTCTGAAGCTTCCCTTTTGCTCTTTCAAATATTCTTTCTTTCCAATTTCTATTTTAATTATAACAAATTCCTATTAACTCCAAGCTTCTATGCTTCTACATTTTACTTATACTAACTGTTGTAGATGCTTATCTGTAGTATCTATTTATATACTTCGTATCTATCATTGTCTTATTACTAGACTTATTTTCACATTAAGGTGTGTTTCAGAAAAGTTAACATTTTTATGGAAAAAGCAATATTTGGATCAACACAAGGCAGCACATAGATTATCTTTAAGAAAATAACGAACAGTTTCTTAATAAACTGTACTAATTCCTATTTTTCCTCGATCGTACCCAGGATTATTTTCGTTTGTTTCAGATTTTATTCTTTCTTCTCCTTAGTCTGTAATTAACCGTACTTATAAGTGAGAAAATAGTGAAAATTTTATGTTTCATACATTAAAATAATCGTAGAAGGAATCAGTCTATTGTTTTTCTTTTTTATCTCAAGAAAGCTTTCTCGGATAAAAAGTAGAAAATAATGTTAAAATCAATAAAAAAGAAAGACTTGAGCAGTAATACTGAACGTTAAAAGTTACTTTAATCAGTATAAATTGAATATATTTCTATTTTCCATTCAAATGTTAATTTTTCCAAGACGCTCCCAGTTCTAGTTTATCTACTTTTCCAAGCTGTTACATCTTCTCTCCTACTTCCTTAATTTACTCTGTATCTTATTCTAATACACTTCCTTGTGCTTAATTTGAACCGATCTCTCAATATTCCATTCCTTAACTCACTCTCTGTCACATTCTTTCAGAATCCCTGGTACTCGTATCCTCTGATTCAAACTACACTCATCGTTATTCCAGGATTAACCCTGCTATCCTTCTCTTGATCAATGCAACTTGTTGATCAAGCCTCCGCACAGCATCCTCGTGTTCTGCCACGTGGACGTGTCCTCCTGCACAGGAGATGTGTACGTGTGTGTGCGTGCGCGCGACGGCTTCTGGACGTGGCTCTGAACGGGAGGGATGGCTGTTCCAGTGTACTGCCCGTTCCCCGGCTACATTGAGAATGGCCGCGTCATGCTGGTGGGCAACATGGGCGTGTACGACTACCGGCCGTACGTGCGCAAGGTGACCAACAACAAGCAGATCATGTACGAGTGCGAGCGCGGCTACGTGCTGGCGGACGGCCCGCCCGGCGCCACGTGTCTGGGCGGGCGCTGGAGCCCCAAACAGCTGCCCAGGTATGCTGGGGGACCGACTATAAGGAGGAACCGACTATAAGGAGGGACCGACTGTAAGGAGGGACCGACTATAAGGAGGGACCGACTATAAGGAGGGACCGACTGTAAGGAGGGACCGACTGTAAGGAGGGACCGACTGTAAGGAGGGACCGACTGTAAGGAGGGACCGACTATAAGGAAGGACCGCTTGACAGGTCCGTATTGCAAGGCGATGACATTGCAAGAGATAGTGATGAAGTCATTTATAAATGTGCCAACTGTTAACGAACGCACTGACAAAATGATTGTATGCACAAAACCTTCAGTTGTGTTGCCAGCAGTGGCAGTAGTTGTCAAAGCGGCCCCTTCTTACAGTAATCTCTTTTTACCAGCTCTTCCTTTCCATCCAACGCATGGGATAAAAAAGGTGAAAAACCAAACAAGTTACAGGAAATTACTTTGAGAAACGATTTATCATTTGCGTTCAGGTGTCTCAATAAAGCGGCTCCACATATTCGTTATTCGGCGAGTAGCAAGCAACCGCTCGCCGAATCCCAAAAAGTGAGTTGCTTTCTATTTGCCGGGTGACGAACATTCGGTGCTCGCCCACCGTGTGTAGGTCTTTTGGAACACATTAAAGGAAACTAACATTCGCGGAACACATCAACTGTTCGGGATTGGGCGAACAGTAGCCCGCTGCTCGGCGAATGCCGAATATCTGGAGCCGCCTTGAACGTTATAAATTTCTGGGGCGTATAGAGGGGTCAAAAATTCGCTTTTTTACCAATGAACATGTAATATGGATCATATATCAAGTTACTCAAGGTACCTCTGATTTTCAGACTACTCCTCGTCCGCTGTTGCTCGGCAGAACATTTTCTGGCGAAGCCAAACTGGTTTCATTTACCCGCCAAACTTTTGTGTATAACAAGTTGCCTAACAAGGAGGGGCAAATAAACTAGGCAAATGAACTAACTTTGATATGGGATTTTTTTTTCATCATATGTGTATTGGTAAATCTTGCTCGTCTTGGGCACGTCTCTACATGCCCCATATGATTGTAACTTTACATTAAAACATCGTAGTTTCAAACATTAAAAGTTTGTTGCCAATTAGCGCATTTATCCTGAGCTGAAACCCCATCTAGTAGGCAAGTGCGCGCAGAGACGTGTTTAGATATTCAGGCACCTATGTCAAACGTAGATTTTTGCCTCCTGTCAGGATACTTCAAATTAGGGTTGTTATTATTTGTTTCGGCGGGTATACTCTAAATATTAAGTGGCGTCCATGGTTCGTGCCATGTCTGCCATACTGTAAATACGCCTCTACGTGCACGTGCTTGGCGTGCTCACGCCTTCCTCCCCTTGCGCAGACAACTGATGTCACTGCAACTGTGCCCCTGGCCGGGAGGTCCTAAATTCGAGTCCCGACACTGGCAGGATTTCCGACACTAGCTCTTCACGTAGATCGAATTCAGTCGCTGTCTGGAGAAGAATTCTAGCGCCCGGCGCCTCTCTGATAGATAATTGTCCGTGGTTTCTTCGATCAAAACCAGGCGAAGGTCGGAGCAGCACCCTAACAAAAGGCCACGAACCGCGCGCGATCTTTCCTTCCTCTTCCTTGTCCTATTCTATCCCTTACTTACACACACTAACATGCAATACGCTATCTGACATGCCGGGAGACCGGTCGGGAGCTTAGCTGCCCTGACTGAGGCAGTGCCCCGCTGGTGGAAGATACCTGGTTGGGGAAAACCTACTAGGCGTCGGCTCCAGATCTCGCCATCCAGCAAGGAAAATCACCGCCATCACCACCCGACAAAAAGCATGCACTACACTTACAGGACTAATGATCTTAACCGTTGACGCGCCAGGAATCACTTACAATCTATCAATCAACCAATCAATCCCCGTGCGCAGGTGCGTGCCGGGCATGCACCCGCGGCTGCGCTGGAGCCGGTCGGTGCGAGCGGTGCGGGCGGCGCGGTCTCTGCGCGAGGCGCTCCTGGCGGCGGCGCGGCGCAGCTCGCTGGGCGTGGCGCTGGCGGCGGCGGAGCGGCGCGACATCGCAGGGGCGCCGGCCTTGTGTCATTCTCAAGGTGCTGTTTCAAAGGGTAGAAATACTTCTGCAGTCAGTGGCGGTCCCTAGGGTTTTCGTTTATTACCTTCCTTTATTTGGCGAAATTGATTTAAATATTTATTTCAATTATGTAATGATTTAAACAATAATATTGTATAGTATTATATATGCATTACAATATGCAATATAATTGCAATATTATTATTATTATTATTATTATTATTATTATTATTATTATTATTATTATTTCACAAAAATCTATGATGCTCCACCACCACCACGATTGGCTGCATCTGTCCCTGTCTCCAGTCGCAGTTCGATGAAAGGATTTCTCGCTTGTGTCGAACTGAAGCGGTCTTCAACAAATTGTGTTAGTAGGAAAGTAACATACTCAGTATAGTAATAAAGTGGGGATACAGTACATCGGAGCAGGTTTATCTTCAGAACTAATAAAGAAAAGTGTCAATAAAAAACAAAATTCTTGTAATGAGAGCAGAAGAACTCAATTTTTGGCGAATGGTCATGCCACTTTTTCAATGCTCACTCTTCATTTATACCTTTTGGGGGGGGGGGGTATCGGTGTCGGTTACATGTCGTTGAATTCACTAGTCTAGAGAGATTTGTTTTGCGTTTTGTGGCAATTGGCGCGGCTGGCTGTTCGCAGAGGCGTGCGCGGGGGCGGGGGCGGAGGCGGAGGCGGAGGCGGCGCTGGTGCGGCGCAAGCGCGGCGGCATGCGCGTGTCGTCGGGCGCGTCCACCTCGTCGCGCACACACATGATGCGCGGCAAGTCCAACAACAACAACGACGGCAGCCGCGGCAGCCGCGGCCGCAAGCCCAAGAGGCCCACGGACGAGCGCGTGCGCCCGGGCCACCGCCCGCGGCCCAAGACCGGCAAAGGTACGGACACACTGCGTACAGCGGTTTAGTTGCTTCGGGTCGGGCTTGCCTGAAATCGGGTGAGGTGGGAGGGTACAAGATGAACTGAAAGAGTTTACTCTAAAATAGTTCACCGACTTAGGTGGCTCAGGGCATCAATTGCAGTGCCTGTGACAGGGACGGGGGTTCCAGTCCCAACTGTGGCTGGATCTTGCTTCGTGTTGAGTTTACCTGACATTGGGAGAGGTGGGAGGATACAAGATGAACTGAAAGAGTTTACTCTAAAAGAGTTCACCGACTTAGGTGGCTCAGGGCATCAATTGCAGTGTCTGTGACCGGGACGAGGGTTCCAGTCCCGACTGTGGCAGGATTGTGCTTTGCGTTGGGTTTATCTCACATTGGGTAAGTGTGGAGGGAACAAGATGAGCTGAAACCAGGGTTTACTCTAAAAGGGTTCACCGACTTAGGTGGCTCAGGGCACCAATTGATGTCACTGCAGCGCCTGTGAGGGAGGGAGCTGCAGTGACTGCAGTGCAGTGCCGGGAGGAGGGTTCGAGTCCAGACTGTGGCAGGATTGTGCTTCGCGTTGGGCTTACCTGAAATTGGGTGAGGTGGGAGAGAACACGATGATCTGAAACCAGTGTTTACTCTAGAAGAGTTCACAGACTTACGTGGCTCAAGGCAACAATTGATGTCACTGCAGTGCCTGTGACCAGGAGGGGAGTTCGAGTCACGACTGTCGCAGGATTTTGCTGCGGCAGGTACATAGAACGCAATTGAAGTTGTATAAGTACAATGCTTACCAATACAGAGGAATATTTCGAAATAAATAAATACAGAAAGATAGAACTGAATTTCAAAAAAAGAACAGTCTATAAGTATATGGCTACATCAGATCTCCATTCAATCAGATCAGACCTCCATTTCAATCAATGCTTTGCCAGCAGACGTGCCACTCGGAATCGCTTCTGAGTGTGCCGATGTAAAGGGATCCTAATATCAATGGCACTTCCGAGTGGCCTAATTGAGATTGCCATTTAGATCGGTGTTCGGCTGGTGGTGGCGCGGAAGCGCTTCTGCGCTTCTGGAGAAGGGAGTGCTCCACTAACAGCCGCAGCAATTTTGCCTGTTCAGATACCTCCATTTCAATCAATGCTATTCCAGCAGACGAGCCTCTCGGTAGTGCTTCTGAGCGTGTGGATGTGAAGGGACCCTAAATTCAATGGCGCTTCCGAGTGGCCTAATTGAGATTGACATTAAGATCTGTGTTCTGCTGGCGTTGTCTTGGAAGCGCGTGTTGGCTGCTGGAGGCGGGAGTGCGCCACTAACCGCCACAGCAGCGCCACTCGCGCCATTTAAATCAATGTTCCGCCAGCGGACACGCCACTCGGAAACGCTTCTGAGTGTGTCAATGTGAAGGGACCCTAAACTCAATTGCGTTTCCGGGTGGCCAAATTGAGATTCCCATTAAGATCTGTGTTCTGCTGGCGGTGGCGCGGAAGTGCGTGTGCGCTGCTGGAGGCGGGAGTGCGCCACTAACCACCACAGCAGCGCCGCTTGTGCAAACACCTCCATTTAAACCAATGTTGCCAGCGGCCGCGCCCCTCGGAAGCGCTTCCGAGCGGCGGCGCGTGCGAGGGCCCTCACAGAGCGCGGCGAGCCGCGGGCTCGGCTGTTGCAGGGACGCCGTGCGAGCTGCTGGCGGACGAGCCCACGATGCGCGTGGAGGTGGTGAAGGCCGGCCGCGACCCCAACCAGACCTACTCGCCGGGCACCGTGGTGCGCGTCAGCTGCAGCAAGGGCTACTCGCTCAGCCTGGGCCGCCACAGCAACAACACGGCCAAGTGCGCGCGCGGCCAGTGGAAGCCCGCCAAGCCAGAGTGCCTCATCCGTAAGTGGCGCCGGGGGGGCCCTCTCGCCGCCCCCGCGCCGCCCCGCCACGCCCACAAAGCCAACTGTTACGATTTCAATACCACTTCCGGTTTTAAAGTACATACTGTTTGCGACGTGAAGGCTGCAGCGTGTCTGACCGGGAGGTCCTAAGGTTCCTGTCCGTTCAAATTGTTCTGACTACACTACAATGCCTCTGACTGGGAACTTCTAGTGTTCGAGTCCTGAAAGTGGCAGAATTTTCGACCCTGGCTCTTCAGCTAGGTCGAATTCAGACGCCGACTGGACGAGAATTCTAGCGAGAGAGAATTCTGGAGAGAATTCATTTAATAAGCTCTAACTTGTGTCACGAAAATAAACTTCTTGCAAGTGCACGATGCTTTGATCAAAAATATGGGATTTAGGCCAAACTAATTAGAGTTTTATTCTCAAACGCATGTAGTTTCGGAAACTGATTTAATCTCTCAAGTAGGCTTGTGATATAAGTAACCTGAATTTGACCGGTTTTCGAATGGAGCTTTAGCAGTTATATCAGCAAAACTCGGTTTTCATCCCCCCCCCCTCCCCGCCATGTGTAACATCTGTTCAGAATTCCCTTCGGTGCTGCTTCTACGGAATACTTCAATTTTGTTTAAAGTAGCCGATGACATTAGGTCATTGTTATAGCTCCTGCCTTTTAAAATTAATATTTTTAACTAAATCGGGGACCCCCCTTCTCAATGTGGCCCGTGGCCTCAGAAATGGGCTTACCACTGTTAAAACGATTAATTTTATAAGGTAGGAGGTGTAACAATGACCTAATGACATCGGCCACTTATAAACATCGAAGTATAGTAGAACGACGTCAGGAGGCAAGGTTTTGAAGTCTTCCAGCTCCGTTTCATTAGGTGGAGAGGTTTTCCCACGCTTGCACGTGGAAATGTGGCCTTATGTAATGGTGTGGAACAGATACTTCATTAGAAAGGAAAGAGGCGAGGTTACATGATCCCTTTCGTAGTTTCCAAAGTTTTAATAACGAATCGCATTTAATGACTTCTCAGAATAGAGTATTTCTGTGTACTTCTGTTCCGCCTCATCAACATCATAATCAGTAGCAATGGATTTGCTGAATACCTCTGTTGCTTTCTGCGTGTTGTGTTTGTAATAAAATAAATAAATGTCTTTATTCGTAGTTAGGCTCACGCCATTAGGTCTTGTCTGGTCCTTCACCTGACTACTTTCAGAAATTTAAAACACTACACAATAAATATCATGTTATTCAGAAAACACATACTACGCATTTAGAGAAAAGAGTGACATGAGTGAAAACGAGGAATGGGAGTGGATGGAAAAGGAACACTCTCACTGCATTTGTGTTTTTTTATTAACTTCAATATTAGAAATAAACTATTTTTTTCAATTTTAATGTAATTCAACTCTTCTCAAATGTTTCGCACCGGCTGTGTATCGGAGAGCTGTTGTGGAAAAAAACACCCGTGCCCCCTACCCCCATATACACACATGCACACACATACACACAGTTCCTTGTATACAGAGGGGTAAATCGTCAGCCTAGAATGAAAATGTCAGATAACACGTATTTTACAGGAAGTGAAAAAACTGATTTTGTAACATTAGAATATTTACATTTCCTTTTTACTCTCTAGAGCGCTGCACAATGTTGTTATTATCCTTCTCAGTTCAGATACAAATATTATCGATATAGTAATTAATGTGTTTTCACTCTAGGCTGACAATAGGCACGTGTCCCTGAATAAATGTAACAAACTTCCAGAGCATGTTTGGGGGTTGAAGATAATAAACTTGTGGTGTAAAATTTCATATAAAAAGTAGCACATGTGACATTTATCCCAGATTCGGAGGCAACTCATTGAGCACTCTTGTTAGGGGTACATGTTCTGGTGCAGTCAGAGATGTTGGGTGCCTGTCAATCATCAGTTCAAGAGGTGCTGGGACAAATGCTCTATGTGCAACTTTGTTACTTAGGATTCCCTACAACATGTTCATTGGCAAAAAGTGATCATCTTTAACTTCCTTGCATGCTCTGGAAGTTTGTAACATTTGTTCTGAGCCATCCTGTTCTTTTGTATATTTATTCAAGATACAAATAATTTTCACCATCTAAGTTAACTCTATCATTTCAATGAATCAATAATATTAATTAGGGTAGTTGAAATCGTAATAGCTTGCTTTTTGGGAAGAATAATTCATTCCTAGATATTTCATCTTGTTTGATTTTATATTATAAAGCAAATTTATTACCTAGTTGAATCAAGCTTCAATATTGTTGTATTATTTAATTTAGTGATAATTTAATTATCTAGACTATTTTGAAATTACATTCAAAATAATAAGTGTACTAAGGAAAGGGTGTGGTGTGATGTTTATGTCACAGCTTCTACCTGCACCAGTGACTCTGTTGTGTGTATTTTGTTTGTGTATTAAGTGTTTGGTCCTTGCTCTGTGCCTCAATTCTGCACTGCCTTGCCACTTCCTTAGCATGGTCTGGACAGCTGATTCTCATTTGCACTAATATTTCAAATAGCACTTTCTGGTTGACAGTGGTCCAGTTTGCTGTGTCTGTCTTTTTTTTCTAAATCTTTTTGATATATATTTTTTTCTATGTTGAAACCTAAAATCCAAACTAAAGTGACATTTTTCATGTTTGTGGCTCTTTGGCTCATGAAAAGGAGGCTAAACTACTAGAAAATACAATGGTACAAGATAATTTTTGATATTTTCCAAATTTTGTAGAATTCTGTAGTGGGCAGTTGGCAAATTATTGTCAAAAATGTTTTAAAATTTTTTTCTAGTATTGATGGTCAGACAAGAGGCATGTCTAATTATTTCATTGTCCTCAATATCCACCTAAGATTCCTGAATAAGAATTTTTCCATTGCTGCCTACATATTCCCTTGAGTATTATTAATAAGATATCCATTTAACCATTAAATCATCCCTTTTATATCATTATTTTTGTCATTGAAATTATCATCTCCTATATATGGGGTAAGTCAACAACAATCAGTAGCGTATTGTGCAGTGGCAAATGCCTTTAGTTCTATCTGAGAAGTGGGCAAAGTTAAAAACACTTTGTTCACTTTTCATCTGTAGAAGTCCACAAGATTCAAGTCAAGCCTTCTTTCAGTGTGCCTTTCAGTTTCACACCACCTTTGTGTGTTCATTGTCAAACGCAAAGGACCGTGTTGCCTGTTTCAGTGCCTTGTCATGTCCCACCCCTGAAACATGGAACATTCAAGTTGCTGACAACAGAAGGGCCTAGCAAACCACTCAATGCGACAGTAGAAATACTGAATGGTGATATAGTAGAGTTTTCTTGCCATCATGGGTACAATGTGAAGGGACCCACCAACATGCATTGCTGGCATGGGGAATGGGGAGTAACAACCCTTCCTGAATGTACTCCAGGTAACTGATGTTCGGGAAAGTAGTTATAACCAGAAACTTAGAATTCAACAATTAGAGTTTCTATACTCTATTTTTTTAAATATTTTACTCAAACTCAAAGTTTGGGAGAAGATCTCAAATTTATGTTTCAGATTTGATTAATATTGATATATATCTTTGGGGTTACCAGTATATTGAATGGAGATGAACACACAAAGCTTGCATTTCTTGGCAGCAAATATTGTCCTGTCCTTCCAGTACCCTGTGTCTTGCCCAATATAACATACGGCACATACCTTTTGGGCTATCGCCCTGGGCTCACCATCGCCCATGGAGCATCTGTGACCTTCCAGTGTGATAAGAACTACAGCAAGTCCACCCTGCATCCTATTCATTGTCATTTGGGAGAGCTGCAGCCACGAGTTCCAGCTTGTATACATCACAGTGTTAAAAGCAGTGAGTAAGAAAGATGTTAAAAAATGATGTTGTGAGTACGCATTGTGCTGTTTACCAATTCAAATTATGTGACTATCTCTTGATCACAGAAATTTCTGTCAATGCACTAGATGCCAGCAGCAAATCGCATGATGCAGATTTGGATTTTAAGGGTGGAAGTGATATCACCAAAGGAGGGGATATCAGTGACCTTAATTACCCCATGGGCTTTAGAAGGGCATGTGGACCTCCTGCCAGGGTGCATGGCTCATTAGTTTATCGAGATGGGGAACCCATAGGTGATAGTGAGAGAAGGTAATGGTTGTACTGCATCTGTACATAACTATAAAAGTATATATTCTTGGTGTGTAGTGAAATTGTACATTTCAAAGAAAGGTCTGAATGCAAATGGACAAATAGATATATTTTTACACACAGTTTACATTTTCAGTTCCTTTGCATATAAAATTTAGGAATATTTGACAAATTTTTGTCACATTGTTTGCTTTACTACTGTATTAAAATGATCAAATTTAATAGTTGGAAAATGGTAATTATGAAAAACTATTCTATCTTGATTTAACAAATGTTCATGAAAAAATAATTTTATAAATTCTTTCATCTGATTCTTCTCTGATTTTAGAGAAGCAGTAATAAAAATTATTATAACCAATGATGGAAACATTTACATCATTGAGAAACCTTTTACCTTATCTTATTAACATTCTGTACATTAAAAAAGTTGCATTTAAGCATGGGCATAGTCACGATTGAGGAGAAATGGGCACTTGCCCTACCCTTAAAATTGGGTAAGAAGTTCAGAAAATAAAATAAATATTCAGAATATATTTTTGTTTAAATAAAATACACTTGCTCTTGGATAATTCAAAATTTTACATAAATCTAATTTTTTAGGTCAAGTTCCTTTAAATGAATGCTAAAACATCATGGCTAATACAAATTATATTTTGGATAATTAAATTTTGTTGTTCAAATGCACTTGTAACATTACATTGCATATAGTTTTTTTAACTTTTAAAATGCAAGGCATTAAACTCTTTTTTTTTTTTTTTTTCCCTATCTCATCTGAATCATAAAATAAAGTTTGTTTGCAATTTTATGTATATATGTGTAATTCGAAATTTTGTATATTGTAAATTTTTTCTTCAATCTCTTCAACTTTGAATTATCCAAGCTTGACTGTATTGACAAAAATATACAACTTTTATTGAAACCATTACCACTGAATAAAGTAAATACTTATCTAATATCAATATTTTCAGAACTTCTTTCTCCCCGCCCCCACTAGCAAATCTTACCTCCCTTTAAATCTTATTCTGGTTAAGTATATTCATTTATGTATTTAAGTAAAAAATCATTAAAAACCTATTAGTGGTGATACAAGGATTGAAAAAACAAAATTGATTTGATTACAAGAAAATTTTTGAATTTTTTTTTCCCAATGTCAGGAAACATATTCTTAAATTAATGATATATGTTACCATTTAAATTATACGTATAAATGTAGGGTTAATTAAGATTACGATTTATGTTACTAATAATGTCTCAATATGTACACATATTACACATATTATATACTCATACTAAACATTACAAAATTTTGAAAAAAATTTTAACCTTTTTTTTTTATAAACAGTGCAAAATAATGCATGGCTTTTCTAGTTTTTCAAACATTTGTTTATATAAATAATGGATTTTTGAAATTTAAAATAGAATCCACAGAATCATTTAAATTTCTTTAATTTTGAAATTAAAAAAATCAGAACATTGTCATATTGATCCATCTTAATCTTTAGGTACCGAAATATCTATTTTCATAGTTGCTACAAAACATTGTTTTATATTATCATGAAATATAGATTTAATCTCGACAATTTTCAATTAGATTCCATTCATTTTATCCAGATACTGAATTTACTCATATTCAAGGGTTTTAAGCTGATGCTAGTAAAATAAATTTTAAATTACTATGTAAGCCAATATTAATTTAACTGGTGGAGCTATAGCAGCACAAAATGGAATCATTATAAACATACTTTGTACTATTCAAGAAAAACTTTAAAGCCAAAGTTTGGAGAAAATAGTTTCAGTTCAAGAAAAAACTACACAAAAACAACTAATATTTTCAAGAAAACTGTACATAACTTTATTTAAAGACTTATTTAAGTAGGACAGATTTTACAAAGTAAAAGATCTGTCATCAATATTGTCATTTTCTGATGGTTATTTTTTTGCAATTTTCCAAAATACATAAGAGTTCATGGAAAATGAAAGCTACACCTTTTTTGTAAGCATAATTTGCTCTACTAAAGGAAAAAAATTAGAGTAAAACTTTGAAGACATTTCTGAGAATTAAATTTAATTAAATTGCCTGTATACCTTGCAAAAGTATGTGAAAACTACTCATATATTCGAAAAAATGCACAAGCTCTTCTTTAAAGATAGACGAACAAATTTCTTTAAGGAAAAAAATACATTATTATGGTTGTAGGAAATGCCGAAAAAAATTGAACTCTAAATTTTCGAAAATACAGAGAGTTCAATGAAAACGAGACTTGCACAATTTTTTAAACATCCATTGTCTTGATTGAGAAAAAATTTAATCCAAAAAATTGGGGCCAGTTTTACCTTTGAAAATGTTGTTGATGCTTCATGTAAAATATTCTCAAAAATCTAAATATCCATTTCAGTTCCTCATGTTCAACCAGATCAACCAGAGACTTATAAAGTGTCTGAATGGTTTAGGTGCTAGTATTGACCAATGACAGACACTAGCACATGGCACATTTGTAAATTTTTCAGAATCACAACTTCTTATTTTGTATTGTAACATACTGCAAAATTGCATACCTGCAAGCCAATTCCTCAAAACAGTGTAGTAATGACATTTCAGCATCAGTGTACTTATGATTACTAGATATATTAAAAGAAATATGAACATAATACCCTCAAATGAGTGATAAGTGGGAATGGTGATGAATTTACACAGAACAGCACTCCAACAAAATGTTACTTAGAAGAATATTATGTAGAAATTCAATGCAAGCATTGTGTTACAAAGTATTCTAGCAGTTTGCAATCATATGCAAGCATTTGGAAAATAAAGATTTTGGAAGAATAATGAAAATATATTGGAAGAGGAAAAAGTTTGTTTTAGGAAAGGGAGAACAATTGAGAAACGAACACCAGATAATTAAAAGATGATGTGAACAAATCTTGCTCATAAATATGTTTGTGAGTTATGAGAAAGCTTGCAGCAGAAGGATCAGCAAAATATTGTCAATTTCTTCAATACTTAAAGATGGAGGATCACTTAGATAAAAACATATGAAGAAGTTTCAAATTAAAATTAAAATCAGCCATGAAGCCAACACACACTCTCAGTGAACTGAGGAATTTGATGGGGCTGCATATTCCCACTTATAGTGTAAGGATTCTGATAGGGCTCCTCCTTTATAGTTTAATATTTATATGAACCATATGACAAGATGAAAGGAAGCTTAAAAAAATGAAGAAAATATTTGTAATTAAGAAATAACTAGTGTAAAGAATATATATTTTGAACAAACAAAACTGATTAGATTTTACAAAAGTATTGGCAGTTTTACAAAAGTGGCAGAAAGATATTAAGAATAATTATAATTAAATTCAACAGAACTATAAATCAGGACATTTTGAAAATACTATAGTCTAATAATATGGGACCATTCCAAAATTACGTTCACTTGGAGTTGGAGAGGGGATTCTTATCACTGACATGAACAAACGTGCAGTGGGGGAGGGGATTTGAGAAATGAATGTTTTTGCAACATTTTTGTGATTATTAACTTCAAACTAGACGTGAATGTTAGAATGAACCAAAGAAGTATCTTGTGATTAAATTAGAAAATTTATTTTAAAATCTTATGAAATTTTACTGAATTTCTAATGAAGTCTCTTTTATTTAACTCACAAAGTGTATGAAGGGGGAAAGGTTTCTCAAAGACACATTCGCTTCAGGGAGTGTTAGTAAATGTTACAATTTATTAAAGGGAGTTAAGAAATTTAAAAAAAGATTAATTTTGTGGACATGCATTTGAATAGCCCCAACTGTAAAATGTTAAAGATTTTCAAAAAAAATGGTGAAATCGTATTAACAGAATGAAGTCAGATACATAAGTGAAACAGATATGAATGTATAGGCATTAAAAATGAAGAGAGCATGAAATACTAAAACTGGAATGGCAAGATCAAGTACACCTTAATGACTAAGGAGAGATTGGAATGAGGAGAAAGAGTTGTTGTAGTTGATAGCTGTATTGAAGATATTGTTTGTTGTAGTTGATATTGATGTTATTTTTATAGCTCCATTTGAGAATGAGTTCCATAATGCAAAATGTGTATCTGATACTCATGAAAGCTCCAAAAATAAAATTTAATTTTTATTTTTGTGTTGCATCTTAAAAAAATTTTCACAAAAATACTTTCGAGTAAGTATGTAGGCTACTATATTTCAAAGCAAAATTCATTCAATTCAATTTTAACAATGCCATGAGTGATTTTTTAAAATATTTTCATCTACCCATTACCATGATTGTTTAAGAATTAGCATATAGGTATACATGTGTGTCCCTAACATCAAGACCCATTGACAAAAGAACATATTTTCAAGAAAAGAAATATATCCAATATGCACACCAACATAATAATGAAAATAAAAAAAAATAAAATAAAAAAATGAAAATGGATATAGTACCACAAGAAGCTACAGTATCAACTAGGAAGAAGAAGAGTTCTAAAACTGCCCAAAATGCGATCATATTGCATGTGAACATGCTATTAATTATTTTGCAAAGCACATCTATCTTGCCTAAGCAAGTAATGGAAATCATATTGAAGATATTATTTAGTGTTATTTTATTTAATATTCCAATTAATAAAGTGTTGAAAAAATGTCCCTTCACTGAGAAGAAATGTAGATTTTCATGACAAATTGCATTGATATTGACTCCAAGCACCAGCAAAGTTAACTGCTTGGGATGTCCAACCAAATTTAATATTTTGAACTTTCATACATTTATGTGAAGGCTTTTATAGTAGAAAATATTTGGGATTCGTTTATGGAGAAATAAAAATCAGTTCTGGGTGTCCCAGCATGATACATAGATATTCAGTGAGTGTTTTCCTTAAGAATTGTAGTTGAATGCAGACTAAGTAGATCATCAATTGTTCCCTGTTAGCTGTTACTATTTGCATGTGAATGCTTTCTGTGTGCACACATACACATATGGACTCATTGTGAATTATTAATATGTTGTAAACTTGTATTGTAGGAACAAATTTTTAGATAATTTAAAACCAAATAAAATATATTAATTCTTCCTTCTGTAATTATGCACAGCTCTAAAGAACTGCTTTTTTAGAATATTTTCAATGCTTATAATAAAAATACATCTAGAAAATATTACAAAAATAACTCGCAAACATATTTAGAACATTTCTGTTTAGTTTATGCTTTTGCTTTTTGGCAGATATTACATAGATTTAAAATATACATTATTTAGATTAGAACCTTGGAATAAACAAGATAAGGTATGCATGAGCAGTTATGCACTCATAAATTACTCTTTGAAAATTTGTTGGGATATGCTAGATTTAAGTAAACATTTATCACCAACGTAGAACTTAATCACAAACTCAGTAAAATTTAGTGTGAAATCAACAGGAATACTAAATAATCTTAGAGGTTGATTTTCACTACACACTTCAAATTTCATCTTCTGCAAATTGTATTTTGTCCTGTGAAGTTGACATATGGTATCTTTTCAGCTTTCCTGATGGCACAGAGGTGACATTCAATTGCATTCTCAGCATTATGGGAGTGAAGGCCACCTGGAGGATCATATGTGAAGATGGCAGCTGGGTGGGCCGCTCCCTCCACTGTGGTATGGCACCCTATGGATAGCAGTGTTACTAACCAAGGTGTCACTAAAACTTGTGGATGTTGCAGCACCATCTAAAGGATTTGTAATAACATATATGTAATCACAAAATGCAAGATGTTATTGTAATTGAAAATCTAATGTATGTTTTAATTCATCCTATAACAAATTAATTGTATGATCAAGTTGACAATTGCCATGGTTTGATGTATATTTCACAATACTTTTCCTCTACGAAAATTTGTATTAAATTGTTTTAGTGTTCAACGATCCTTTCCATTCCTCACTACCCTTGCCAAAATGTGAAAATATCATTATTTTTGTACTAATACAAATCAATCAAAACTGGTTTTAACAAATCTGTTTCTTCGACGAACCAGAATTCTTAAAAATCTATCATTATAATTGAATTTTAGTATTATTTTTTTGCAAGTTTTCACTTGTTTTGTAAGTGTTATTATGTGATGTTCTAGATTTGTTTAAACCAGTATGTTTGCTGATGTATAATAAATTTTTAATGTTTTTTATTGTTGCTGTGTGGAATGTAAGGTAAACTTATGAAGGCTTGACTTGAATAATTTGGACTTCTATAATTTTGTGCCAATTCTTCTAAGTTATTTTATGAACATAATACTACTTAACCTCTGTTTTCAGAAAATGATGACTACCCAGAGGGAATGGTTCGCACCAACGGCACATGTTTGTATCGCAACTCTGAACCTAATTTAGTATCTTTCTACAATGACCAGCAGATCACCGAAGAAGTTGTGGAATTCCCTCCAGGATCATTGGTGGTACATTTATTTTATACATACATTTAGTTTGTAACTTTTTAAAATTTATTTATTTAAAGTCGCTTTTCAACAATTGGGTCATAAGCGAACATGAGAATCAATTTATAATTTACACAAGAATATTCATTCTTTACAGTTATGCCATTATACAAGTACATACAATTCATACAAGCATATAAATAGTCAAAATGTATTAATATTGTGGGTACTTACATAAATGAGATGGATACACACATTTATTTATTTATTTATTTACATTACACAAGTTTTTGATATTAACAACATGTTTGAAGGATTATTGTATATGAGATATAGGAAAAGGAGGGTCTGTTTATTAAGGTATCAAGTTTGGATGTTTTTAAAAGTTGTAAAACTTTTATGCATTCTTCTGGGGAGGAGAAGGAATTATATAGAGAGTCTTTTAAATTTAAGGACTGTCTTATATGGGCTAGTTCAGGGCACTCCAGAATAATATGGGATACTAGGGATCCACATTTAGGTCAGGGTAATGGGTCAGCTTTTGTTATTAGGTGAATGTGTGAGAGATTAAAGTGGCCAATACATAGTCTGGTAATTTTGACTTTGTAACATGTTTGTTCATTGGAAAAATGCTTTTAATTTCTGTATGTATTGATTATAAATGATGTTTTCACTGATCCAAGAAGTGACTGCAGGCAGTCAAGACTTTAAACAGTATAAACATCATAACAATGTCATGATAAGTAGCTATGGGGTCACAGCAGAGATTGACTATTGCAAATCAGGAAACATATTCCCATGCAAGTTACAACTGTGACAGAATGAAAAAACTTTTTTTTTTTCTGCGCGGATTGGTCAACTTTAGAACTATTCAAACATGCAACTGAACTCACTTAGGCCCAATCATAAGTTCCTAGGAGTAAATACTCTTAAAGTTTTGGGGGGATCAACATTTCTAGGCTGAATCTATATTTACACCCCAAGATTGTTAGTCCCTGGGGGATAAGGTACCAAATGATGATGATGAAGGATTAATGGACACTTACAAACATACAGACACACAAACATCCATGCCCCAGGTGGGATTCGAACCCACGACCCTTCAGACACAAGACAGCCACAGTTCTTCAGCCTCTGCAACCTCAGCTATCCGAGCCGGTGACAAAACTTATAGTATATTTTATATCAGATAGTAACTTCAATAACCTTAGTGCTGAGAAATATTTGTTAAAAATTTCATTTGTAAATGGATAATTGCAGTGTAGAAGCAATTTTTTCCACATTTCAGGTTTCAAGATGTGTTGATATTGGTAAATATGCTATGATTGGCTCCAACAGACGACGATGTGTAGCTGGTGAATGGGATGGTCAGAAACCTGTGTGTTTTGGTCTCAACCAGGAAAACGATTATGCTTGTAAGCAAAATGATTCATTATATTTACTGAACTACAAAATTGTCATGTAGTTTAATAAAAATATATCTTTTACAGTGGAAAAGCCACCAACAATTTTATTTAGACATCAGCTGGGGCCTATTGCTCAGAGCAATGATGGTCGTTTGGTAGTGTACCCTGGAACAATTTTGCATATGGAATGCCTTTGGATTCGCAGATTTGGAACCCCGAAGTGGGTAGTGAGTCATAACTATAGGTAATCAGCTTTGAATTCTTTGTTTCTTTTTGTCTTAAGAAACCACACACTACAAAATCTCATACATTTATAATTTCATACTTGTATAATTTGGTTTCTTTAGGTAGGTACTACTAAATTTTCTATGCAAATACAAAATACTGTAAATGAAAATTATATTTGTAACACAAATTTCTGTAGGTAATGACAGAGATTACCACATAACTTTTTAATTAATATTATCTACACTAATTATACTATTACTTTTGTTTCAATTGCTTGTGCAAATCTGAATTATTTTTCCGTAGGAAATATCCAGAAGGATGGACAACTGACCCTGGTCGTGATTCTCAGTTAGAATATAGACTTAGCATTTACCATGCAGGTCGTGATGATTCAGGCACATTTACATGTGTTACCCCCACAAGACATACTCATGCAGTGGAAATCATAGTGAAAGGTTTAGAAAAAATAACACCCCTTTTTGTTCCATCTTGATACTTACTTACACATTATTCTCTAGATATTTAATTTTTAATTTTTTGCAGCTGTTCATTGCCCTAACATCCCTCCTAGGCGTGGATTGAACTTAAGTACAATGAATACAAAGATGAATACCAAAGTTACATTGTCGTGCGCAAATGGAAATTCGTTAATTGGCGCATCAGAAATTACCTGCTTACCATCAGGGAACTGGAGTGCTCCGATTCCAATATGTGAAAGTAACAAAGCATTTATAAATCATGTTAATCTTATTCTTATTAGATATTTATTTTAATATTGTTTTGATAAAGTTGTTAAATAACTTTCATGGCAGACTTTAAGGAGAAACAGTAGTAAGTCTGTATTCTTATCAGCATTAGAGTAGATTAATTAAAGGCAAATCAAAGTGTCTTTTAAAATAATTTTCAGATTTCATACAATAATCTTCATTTCCATTTCATGCAATGATTAAAAGAATTTCTTTTGAGAATACAGGTAGGGATATTTTTTGTTCTTGATTATTGAATAGATTTCTGTATTAATTTACAAATTTAATTCAGGTATAGAATGTGCAGACCTCATGAACTTGACGGATCCTCATCTTCGAGTTTCGATACTCAGTCGAGAAGTAGGAGGAAGAGCTGTGTTCAGTTGTGCCCAAGGTTATGGTCTTCGAGGCCCCCATGAGGCCATTTGCCTTCATACTGGTGACTGGGCAAGTCCCCTGCCTACTTGTGAAGGTATATTGAAATTTCATTCTTGCTTACACATGAGAGACTTTACAATTTAAAAGTTATAAAAGTTATTTATGGATTATTTTTTTAACATCCATACAAATGAATTATAGATTAAATTTTTTGAACATCACCTAAAATGCATTATTACTCAGTAACATGGTCACAATGTGGATTTCCTTACAACTGCGGAATATATTCTCCGAGACTAATTGCATCCAACAAGGTGGCGGAGGTGACAATTATATATGTGGTTACTTTTGTTAAAAATTATTATGTATGGAATATGTAATCCTTTATATTTACTAATACACTTCCATTAAATCTTATCAGTCACTGATTTGAATTGATTTTAAGTGAAGCTGATGGTGGCTTAAAGTGACAATAAGCTAATCAGTGACAAATGCACATTGCAAGGTGGTTCCAATCATTCATTTCTAATTAAACTCATTTTAAGACATCAATGTTAGTGAATCCAATAACAATTTTGACTTTTTTAAAATATTTATTATAGTGATACAAAGTACAAAAGAATTTATTTTGAGAAAATATTTCAAACTAAGTTAGATTTACATTTATTTAGAGTATTTAGTCAAAAAACAGTAAAAGTTGTACCTGAAAAATGGGGGAGAAGATGAACTGTACATGTTTTCTTGAGTTTCAGAATTCCTTCCCATCATTTTAACTACAAATAGTTGATAAATGAATAAAAATTAAAAATAAATAAAAATAAAATTTTCAAAAGCATGAGATTAGTAACACTTGAAAATCTAGACATTTTCATTCCCAAGTTTTAGAAAACTTATTTGTAATGGTAAATGAACTGCAGATTTGATTTTTCTGCATTGCTAACTCGCCCTTTCCTCTCCTCTTCACAAGCAAAAGGAGAGTTCAACAAAAAGTGCTCATAGTGAAGTAACATTATGTCCAGAAGCAAAAAAGGGCTCAGCATTTGCTTCAGGAAACATAACTGATTGCGATGGAGGTTATTGACCCGGAAGTTAAAATACATTACTTGTTACAAGCATATTAAGTCTTTTTGAAAAAAATTTAGAATAAAAATGTAAAGTGTAAAATGTAAATTACATATCATTGTTTTGCTAAAATAAATATTATTTTTCTTTTTGATGATCAGTATAGTCTCTAATAGTATAGAAACCGTTGTGCAGGAGGAAATATTTTACTTTTAAATTAAAAATACCAGAAAATATAATATATGCTAACAATGCAATTTTTTACAGAGAACTAAAATATCCATTACTGGAACAAATTTGCAGAACTTCTATCATTTGATATCAGAATACATTTTTTTATATTGTACAGTCCATTACTATACTTTAAAATCATCCTTTCATCGAATTTGTTTATTAGATGCTTCCAAGAATTGGTGCCTCTGCCATTGATTGTTTTTTCAAAAGAAAAGAATAAATAATAAAATCACCTACCTATTTCGATGTCTCGCGCTTTTACGGCAGAGTAGTTTAACAACCTTTGAATAAAAGTGGACAGGATATTATTCTGACTGCTTCTAACTTCATTATTAATGTGTTTTCAGCAGTACAATACTTTCAAGGGGAGCCATAAAATAGGAATAAATGGTTTAAAATATCTTCTTTTGGCAAAAAATTACATAGTGCCCTACACATCCAAAGCACATATATATTTTTCTGATAAATTCCAATTACATTGTTACTAAAACTAGTGATAAAATAAGAATTTTCAAAGAAAAGGAAAGTGGATACCTCCATCTTAGATAGGGCACGTCTGTCTTTAAAAAAATAATAAATATTGTCTTCTTTGTTCCACAATAATGAGAAATCAAAACAAATTTAGAAGTGAAAGTGTGTATATTATAATTAAAGAGTAAGTAAAAATATAGAATTATTTGCATTTCTGAATTTTGTGTTTTCAGAGGTTCAATGTAATTCACCTGGTGTGCCTGAAAATGGTTACATTCAAGGAAATGGGCCTTACAAAGCAGGTGATGTGATCCAGTTCAACTGCAATCCAGATTACATGATGGAAGGACAACCAATTATTGCTTGTCAAGAGAATGGTCGCTGGTCAGGCACTATCCCAAAATGTAAGTAACACAACAATGGACAGAGTTGGGCAAAATACTTGAAAAACATATTTCAGGTACTAAATACAAAATATTTCGTCAAAAGTATTTTAGATACCATATACAAAAAACTTCCGTAAATGCATTTTATACAACATACAAGGATATCATAGTATTTTAAAATACATTGTGAAAATAAAATAAACAACCAGTAGTGATCAATTTTTACAATTTTTTTGTCAAAACTTGGTCGTGGTTTACAATTGTTTACAGTCGTTCATGTTTCCCTTCATCATCACTAGTGATTCAAACATTGTATCACTAATTTTCCTTCTTGTAATTGTAATTGATAAGGCTCTCATTCCATTAAAATCGAATTTAGTAACAAGATTATCAAGGGGTATAGTCAAATAAGGAGGTAAAAAGTGCCCCCAAACCAAATTGATAATCCAAATACTCATATGAAAGAGAATAAAAAATACCTTAGAAGAAAAAATCATCAATTTGTTGCAGAGATACAACAAGATTTGTGCTTTTCATGTTTTATTCTTCCTTAGCTTCTATTGCACATATCAGGCTGAAAAATATTGCATAGACAGAGGAAAATAGTTGAATTTGAAGATTTTTTGTCATCAAATTTTGGAGAATTCAAGTAGGGAAAAAAAACAACCAAATTTTAAAATTTATTTTCCACGTGATAACATTGGAGTACTGCCTCAGTTTTTCCTCCCTAGAATGTGTATCATTTTATTGAATAACATATACTTTTTTTCTGACTTTTAAACAAAATGTATGATAGTGAAAAAAAGTTAAAACCAATTATATCAGTTTAAAAGTTTGAAATTCATGCCAAAATATGATTGGAAAAATTTGACATGAAAATTGGTTCACAAAAACACCTTCAAATTCAACTATTTTTCCCTGTCTCTGCAGTTGTTGTTGTTGTTTTGTTTTTTGTTTTTTTTTTTTAGCCTAATACATGCAATAGAAACTGAGAAGAATAAAAAATTTGAAAAACACATTTCTCATTATATCTCTGCAACAGATTGCTCTAGGAGGCTGATTTTTTGGGGGAAGCTATGGCATTTTTTCATAGCACTTTCATATAAGTTTTGTAATCATCGATTTCGTTTGGTGGCACCTTTTTTTACCTTTCTTGGCTATATCCTTTTGTTTGTTTGTTTCCTTTTACCTGAATATTGAAGAAACCAGATGTGTGAGCTTGTTTGTTTAACGTCTGGGCATTAGTATCACTATTCTCAGTATTATTCATTTTCTTTCTATATGAATTTGATCTTCTAAAGCACTCATTTTTATATTTCTCAAATTCACTCATCACGCCAAGATGAATTCTCTGAAATGTATAAAGAAATTATCAGTTCCCTAATAAGAAGAATGACCAGTGAATTTCACAATCTATTATACACTATGTGTGCATTTTAAAATTTGTAATTTTACTGCTTATTATTTTTAGCTTTAAGTGTGTCTTAAAATTTGTGGTCATGTTGTAGGAACCACTTATTATTGCCTATTTGGTAGGCTTACAAATTCCATCCAGAATAGCACATTTTGATGATTTATGAATTTACACACATATCATAAGATTAGCTCTTTACAAGGGACCAGCACAAGCTTTCAACCAGTGCATACAACCACATTCCTGACAGGTGTGGATGCAAAATGTGACATTATAATATAACATCTGTAAATAATTTAATATAAAATCCATTAATCGCTATCTTGAAGTGTCTTTGGAAATAAATTTTCTTCGTTTAACCAAAATTTTGAGTTATCAAGAACATTTTTTTAAATGCTGCTGCAAGGAATGAAAAATTGCTTCACAAAATCAAAAATTCATAATGCAGACATTTGTGTTTTCCAGGTGTGAATGTACATTTAAATTCAAATTTTCAACAGTAGATCAATAAAAAGTATTTTTGTATTTTGAAAATACAAAATACTATCAGAAGGTATTTTTGAAATAAATACAAAACACATGTTCAAATATGTATATTTGATACAAAATAAAATTACAAAAGTAGGAAAATACGTATTTTAAATACAAGTATTTTTGATATTGCCCAACTCTGAGAATGGAGTACTTAGAATCCATCTCTCACAGCACTCATAGGAAGCAGAAGCCATTACATAGAAGCGTCTTTTACTTTCTTTAAACCGATTACATTAAAAGGATTTGTAGAAAAACACAGGTATTTGAAATGCAAATAATTTGAATTTCAAATGAAATACAAATATTGTAAAGTTGTGACTTTTAAATACTACTTGGTTAAGGTGAATGGAAGAGACAATTTGGGTGTCACTTTTTACTGGGATTGAGATCAGGTTCTTTTGCATCCCAATCTCTAACAAATTTGAAGAATCTTTTGAATTTATAAGATTTATTTAATAAAAAATCTGGTTCTTGTGGTTTTTAAGGTTAATTTACTTATGACATCATATAATCCATTGCAGGAAAAGAAAGTACAAAATTTAAATATGTAAGTCACGAGAGGAAACCTTAAATTTTGCTGTCTCTTCATAAGGTCATAGGATCTGTTTTATATTGACCTGCTTTCCTTATTTTTCCTCAATCTAATATTATTTCAGGTGTCCAGGCTTGCTCGTATCCAGGAACAACTATTAGTGGAAGAATGTCTGCAGTAAAGTTTTATTACAAGATCGGAGAAACTATCACTTTTACTTGTGATGAAGGACTTGATCTTCGGGGAGCACCAATGCTTCGATGCCTAAGAAATGGCAAATGGTCTAATGCCATTCCTACATGTGTTTCCTCAAACAGATAATGGCATTTAATTCAATTGTCAATTGTGAAAGAGGGAAGCTCAACTGCAAGTATCAGCAGCACGTTCATGGTAGATACATTTCAATTCCTTTTATTGTTACAAAAATTAAAGAAGGCTTCCAAAGTGAAGAAAGAAACATCTATTGCTTTTCTTTCAATAAGATATGCCTTCAACTGCATTTAGTAGCAATATATGACACGAAATGTTACAATTATTGTGGTGAAGTGGACAATGCAATATTGAAATATTCTTCCTTACATTGTTTTATGATAATTTGTACAGAGGACTTTAATTTATGTAAAAGTGCTAGACTTGTTATCTTCGATTACACATCTAAGCTAGAATTCATCATTCGGTACTGAGAGCCTTTAAACACAAAGCAGATGTCTTAGTGACTAAATAACAAAGACAAATAATTCTTATGGTTTACTATATATTATCTTATAGTACTAATTACTTTATAATATAAGATAACAAGCCTTGAACTTCTGTCATGAAGTCTTCTCCTTATCAGCTGCAAAGAGCAGTTTATGATGAAATACTTTATCTGCTCTGAGAAACTGGACATGAAAGGTAGCAACATTCAACATCACCTGCTACATCAGTTGAAGCATGTCTCACCAGCATTGTTTAAACAAAATGCCTTGGAAGAAGTTCTTTTATATTTACTGTTGGAGTAAAATAACTGTTTGTGTACCAGGATTTAGAGAAAGATTAACTGCTATAATAAGTATGAAAATAGGCAAATTGTTCTAGTTGATGCATAGACTATGTTGAGTTGGATATCTTGTCATCTGTGCTAGATTGACAAGATATTTCTTTTGCAATGCACATTTGTGATATATGCTAATTACATAACTATCAGAAGTAATTTTGTGGCTTCATATATAAAGACAATATTTCTTTGAAACATGTGTGATCGATGAGTAATGTTAGAAATGAAGTAATATTTTATCATGTCTATGTTTCACAAATACCATCTACAGTTTTTTGCAATATACCATATAAAATTTCATGTCATTTTCTCAGTTAATTGACACATAGTAGTAACTTTGAAACATATTTTTAATAAATATTCATTTTATCATAGAATGTAAAAAGATTATGTAAAATAAGTCATTGTGAAAAGCTTTGTTGACAAAAATAAAATTAATGTGAGGATTCATCGACCCATTTAAAAACTGATTTTATTCATAAAATTTTGACCTCTATAAACCTCCAATAACTGGAATATTGCATGTCAGTATCAAAAGTGTAACAAGGCATAATTCACATGTAAAACTGAAATGAAAGAATACATACATATTTTGTGACATACTTGTGCTGTGTAGGTAGTTTGTTGTACAATTCCCAAATCATGTTATTTATATTTTTATGAAAATATTATATATTTTTAGCATTTTATTTTAAATACAAGATTACAGTTGGCTCTCTTTATGTATTTCACAATATTGCTTACTACTTAAGTAAAATTGAGCTGTTATATCATCCTTCTTCACTGTTTGATATTCTTCAGCTCATCTGATCTATGTTTCAAATAATTGTCTTCCATAGTCATCAGTGTTATCATTTTATCATTTTAAGTTAACTTTTGAAGATACAACATAATTTTAAAATATTGGATAATTCTATTTTACCCCATAATAAGAGACAAAACGCACAAAACATTATCAACGAAAAATGTTAATTTATTACATATTGTTGTAAGTAGGAAATACTATAAGCACATTACAAACAGTTATGTGACATATATCTTTGAAAGTGTGTCTAGTTGTAGTTCCTGAGTGAATACGTGTCAACTAAATCCTTACATTAAAAACAGCATTAAACAGAATATACAGTGTAAAATATAGTAATTACCTATAAAATAACCATGTTAACATTAAAAATAACTTCAAAATAAATAACCTCATATTTATCACTTAATAATATGATGCATGCAGATACAACAATGTAAATGCATAACTAGGCATGCTCAGGTATGTAAGTCACATCGCTGATTGGTCAGATATGAGTGTGTATACAATGAAATGAAATTAATGGGAGCCTGTTGCTCTGGCTGCTTTCATATAACAGTACTTATGGCTAATAAGCCTTTCCACAACATAATACTGACATCTCAATTAATCTATAAACATATCTTTAGTAAAAGAAACAAGCAGCCCTCAATGTACTTCAAAAGAACCTTTTAAATATATACACTGTGAAATAACTAAAGTAACTTGTAGTGCAGTAATGTTATGTGTAGTGTTCTGCATTGTTATAAAAAACTATAAATATAATTTGATGTATTTGTAATTCCCATATGCAGGTTCCATCCTCCTCACCTATAATCCAAAAAGAAGAGTCTCAAACTAGATTTATTGACATTGCCAAATTTATGATTAGGTAAGCCTATGTCATAAGTAATGTAATTTTAGTTTATTTTCAGCATTGATTCTTCGTAGTATAAGAAAGTTACAAATGATAAAATAAATGGAATTGAAGAGTTAGGGAGGGGGGTAATTTGTGTAGATTAAAATGGTTTTATGGTTGCCATCTTCACTTCACCCTTTTAGGAAATAAAACACTGTGAAAACTATTGGAGATTTGAAATAAATTTAGAAAAACTTCACAAGCACAAAATTAACTTTATTGAGTACAAATAAAAAAGTAAAAAAGAAGTTAAAAATTGCTTTTTATTGAATTAAAATAAAATAAATACAAAACTGAAGAGGTATTCCAAAAAAAAAGTATTAAAAAGACAAAAATAAAATTTCAAGTGCCCTGGTAAACACATGTTCACAAATTTCATTAATAAAGTACTAGAAACTGTTAAAAACTTTGCCACATAATTCAGTAAAATAGATTTATGCTCTTGATAGAGCAATTATAATGTATTGCTATTTTGTGCTATTGCATATTGCAAATTCTAAGGAAAAGCATTAGGGGCCATTGAAAGCAAAATGTAATTTATAGTAATTAATGATAATTCTTAAATGAAAATTTTCAAAGAGTTCACTTTAGTGCAGAAATTTTTTGCGATTATTAAAAAGCTCCCCATGCTTCAAAATTTGTGATGAATACAGTAATTGATACTTAAAGGAAGTAAAACAATTTTAGTGAATTTTGTGGACAATTTTGTAACAGTTTCTAAAACTACATTAATGAATTTCCTGGGCAGATATTTACCTCTATTGTGCACCCTTTATTTTTAAATTTTAATATATCTTTTCGCTACATTTTGTAATTTCTCTTCAATTTTTTATTTGTTTAATTTTAATTTGAAGAGAATAATTTTTTAAACTTCTTTTTATTACTTTTTACTGTTTGTTTGCACAGACATAATATTACAAGAATGAGTATCACTTTGGATATGATTTACAATAAATAAAGTTGGACATCACTTGAGAGCGTACGCTTCCGCGGCCGGAGTCAGTATTTACTAGGCCGTCCGAGTGACGCCGCATAGCCTAGTAAATATTGGACATCACTTGCAATTGTAAATTTTGCAATCTTGCTCCAGTTGCTCTATCGTGATGATATGTTTGCAAGGATGGAGAACTTCATTAGAGAAGATCATTATTAAGAGAAATTTGATCATTGCGTTTGAAGCAGTTTATAGCAACTTGAGAAAATAATCCTTGTTTCAAGAGCAATCCCATCCCAGTGATCAGTCAGTGACCAGTGCTATGATTAGCTGGCAAATGGTCTGATTGTAATTAATTTATTTATAGGAAATGAGATAGAACACATTTGATTATTTCAATTGTTATGAAATTATTAATCAGCTATTTTGCATCCAAATTTCATGATGATATTTAAATTAGAACCCTGAGAATTTCGGGCCTGATCGTAAAACCTGTGGTGGCTCAGAATGCCACAGACTTTCTCATTCTAGTTAGTTTTTTTATCTCTTCAGTCTGGGGTATCTATTCCCCACCCTCTTCTGATATGTATTGGTGCCTAAAACACATTTTTTCACGTTCTTCAAATTTGCCGATACCTAATTGAAGAAATGGAATATGATGTGTATAATAGAAAAAAAATTATAGAAGGTAAAATCTGGACCTCTATGCACATTTTCATTGAAAACTTTTGAGCTTTTTTAAGGAAATGTTGTTGAAGTGTTTCTGAAAACTCACTGTTTACCTCATTTTCATCCAAAACTTTCCAGTCATCAAGAAACTTCATAAGAAATAATTTCAAGCACTTGTACTCACAAATACAATAATGTATAAGAAATGCCTGTAATGTAGGATGCATGTTAACAACATGAGATAATTTTTTTTTTAAGTTCATTTGTGTAATTTTTGAAAAAACAAAAGAATAAATCAAAGTAGTATTGATGTGTTATTCAGGCCATTTAGCACTATCTGCATGCAAAAAAAATTGAAAGAAAATATTTTTAAAGAATTTTAATATTGAATTTTTCTTCTCATGCTTGAAATATCCACCTAGTATTTAAAATCCAATGAATCATTTGGAGATATTATTGTGGCAACCTTAATCACTCATTCCCATTCCATGAATTTGAAATGTTTTAAAATGCTGTATTATTGTTGCCATTAGACACCGAGCTCGATTCTTGGTTAATTTGAAATTGACCTTAGTAAGCATCTTCCGTATACTACCAATTCCTTTATATCGTTCATTTCAATGATCCACTTTGAAATTTCATTCAGTGGAAGGAAAATTCAATTCTGACGAATTAATGGAAAAAAATATTTCGTTCTAATCGTTAATATTGACGTTTGTTCCTGTGTCCTAGACAAGTCCACGGTTTACTGTAATTGTGTCTCTATTGTGACGTCATGGATACTCACAGCGACCACAGACACAGACCTTTCGTATAACAAATATATTTATTAACAAGAAAACAAAACAAATATATACACTTAATAATCTACTTACACCCTAGCTCTGATAGACCTACTATCCCCTGATCGCGGGAGCGATCCAAAACCCGATTGAAGATTGTTTTGATTGTGGCATTCGCCACTCCTACTTTTGAAGCGCGCACAAAGCCTAGCTTCCGTGACCGGATGTCACGCTGGGACACAAAGTCCGTTCTGGCGCACCAACGGCTGGTTTGCCTCGATCGCAGGAGCGATCTTATCCGATTGAGAATCGGCGTGAATCGTGGCACTCAACCACTCTTCACCTCGGAGCACGCACACAGCATCGCTCCCCCGTGACCGCAGTCACCCAAGGACATAAAGTCCGCAGGCTTCGTCAACTAATGACTCCAGCCTCGCGAGCCTGGCTCGCATATGCACCGTCTTGGCGCCAAGTTTTGTGCACACGCACGAGGTTCTCCCACCGTCTCCAGAACCTGCCTACTGGCACCGTACACTCTGTTATATAGGCGAGGCCCACGTGACCTCCTACGTCACGCCACCCCCTCGCTTGTTATAACAGTGAAAAGCTTCTATAAGCCGGAAGACACCCAAAGCCTTGTGTCTCCCGTCTCCGCGTTCTTCCCTTTACGGAAAAACCCTTCTTCCTGTGGCAAGGCTAATCCTGCCAAGCGTCCCCAAATAGATGCCACGAGGCACGCTGGTTAATACGTTACACTATACTTCATTGCCTCCCCCTTACAAGGGAATGCGGCGGTGTGGCATGGCGAAACATGCCCTCATATTTTTTTCATTGAATTTACGTGTACTTGTGATACCAGGATGCCGATTTTCGATGCCGATACATACTGCCAATTACTTTTCAAATTTACAAATTTGCCAACATTTTCGTACTACAGAGAACTTGGACCCTCACAAGCCGAGCGGCAAGCGCGCGGGCGCCGAAGTTGGGGTTGTAGAGGGTTGTTTTCTCAAGGTCAAATGACATTGGGAGCAGGCCAATCCCAGTATACTCAATGCTTTTCTTATTGTAAAAGTCCCTTTTATTTGAGATATTTTATTTCCTAACCAATGAAAGTTTGTTACTTTTGTTTATCAGATAACTACTGTATCACTTTATATTTAAATTGTGATATAAGAGAGGTTTTGTGAATCAAATTCACATGGCATGACCTCATTTCGATTTTTTGTTCGCGAAAATTACCGTTTGTGACTATTTGTGTCGATCAATCAATTTTATCATCCGATAATTCCGAAAGACTTACAACTTTACAGCACTTTTTCTGTTTGCACCCACCTTTCGCGTGTGATTACACAACTGACCTGTCTTGCAGTAGAAGCAGACACGAAATCTGAAATTCGCGAGGAAAGAGCTCCAGGGGATGTATCTCATGATGGATGGAAGATGAGCGGTTGCGGCATGTTTTATCACGACGAAATGTATTTCTTACAAAAATGAACAACACATAAAACTAAAATTTGAAGAAAAAAACTTGTATTAGTAGTTTAGACTATGAATAGTTAATATTAGTGTTATTAGCTATCTTATTTTAGCTGCTAGGAGGGACAGCTACCTCCCCGCCTTCCATCGCAGGAAACGACCTTTGAAACAGATTCTGCCGTTTGCGACGAGCAGTGGTGTTGAATCACAAGCGAGCGCGCTGGGTATCACCTGCTTTTCAGGGATGGCCAATTTGGAAATTCAGGATGATTTTTTAATTGACTTTCAGTCAGTATCGACACTCTAAAGTTTGATCGTGAGATTAATACGGCATGTGCTTCCGATGAAAAGAGGATTAGGACAAGTTTCGACATGTCACATTGCGGCATTCCCTGGTTAGTCTCCCCTAATCTCGGCACCGCGAAGGCCACATTTCCCACAGACGACAGTTGTGAGTTGTTGAGAGAGAGTTGACAGACAGATAATAGTGAGTTGTGAGAGCTACTGGAAATTTTGTCGGTTTAATATAAAGTAACGCGTCAGAAAGTATAATTTTATACGTCAAACTACTATCAAAATATCAACAAACGATACACCATTAAGTTAATCTTTTTACGATATATTCGTTGTTAGTGAGAAAATATATAGTTCCGTTTAAAAATTCAAAGATTAATAAACTTTTCAAAAACTAAAAAGATTCCGAACAATCTCTCTACAGCCTATAACTTGTCTCATGAATCTGCATTGTTGAGCGAAATCTGCATTTCGATATCGTAAACCGTTTAGAAGTTATGGGGGTGGCCCGTAGGTAGGAGGACACATGGTATACCAGCCACCAGCGAATTACAGCTAAAGGATTAAGGCTCGTTTAATTCCAAATGACAGAAATTCCTTCAAAACATCATATTTTTATGAAAACAAAATTTGACTGATAGTGGTTGAAGTTGAATTATAATACAGGTAGGATGGAGCGTTTTTGGCAAAATTGATAGGAAAACATTCACTCCTATATATATGCATAGACAAATGAGCTACAGAATGTGGCTATTATCCCTTATCGTATCCTTCGTGAAGGAATCGACTTACTGCACTGAAAACATGGAGAAGAATTATTTGAATAACTACACTCGTCATTGAGCTCAAGAAAACATGCACGCGTAGCGAAACTATATATATATCCAGAAGCAAGTCAGGGTTCATTTCAGCATTTTGCTCAATGGTACAGGAAAATCGAACAGAAAACCTTATAGTAATGGGGGTTATTGACCCAGATGCTGAGGAACAACACTAGTTACAGGAATATTTAGTTTTTACAATATTATTCAGTACAAATAGCGGTGAGGTTAATGGTAAGCGGTATAAACGGCCACCTAGCTTTATGACTTTTAACGTACAATTAAATTTATCTAAAAATAGTTTTAAATACAATTTAAATACATTCATATTAAACATTATGAAATATTTCCTTTCTTTTCTGTTAATACGTTTTTGATAGGTTTCTTGACACTTCTATTTCTAACTTGAGTTTAATGGTCCTACATTTTTATCACACGGAGCCTCCACTTAACTTGAGCTGACACTGAAAACAAATGGTAACTAATGCATTAAGTATCATTGTTAAAACTAAAATAATTTTCCCTTTTGATGCTCAGTGTAATCTTATTGCAAAGAGACGGTTATACATCAGAAAAGATTTTTGGCACATAAACATGTGTATCGATTTTAATCATTTAACGTTATATTTAGATGTAGATTTTAGCAATTAAATGCGAAATGTTACCAAACGCCGAAAAATTTGTAATTGACGGTCGGTGCAGTATATTTATGAGGGTTTTCAGTCTGCGATAAAATACGAAACCGCAAAATGGGAAATCACGTTCAAAGTGCGAATAATTGCTAAATTGCATTTTTTGTCTTTTTTTCGTGATCGCTCTCTAGCTAGGAATATGATTTCGACAACAACACATGGATATGTGGAAACATTTCCTTTGAGAGTGGCCCTATTTATTAATTTATAATTAAGATTTAACTGACAAAACAAAGTAAAAAATAATAAGAACAATTAAAAAACGTATTCTGAAAGCCTGAGTGCTCAGGGACATGTCATGGGGTTTCAGCTTCTTCAGTTCAGGTACAGAGAAAGTTATGGTAAGAAGAGGAAGGTCCT